CCCCCCCCCCCCAAAAAAAAAAAAAAAAAGCTTACAAATGCATGCCTTTTCCTATCCAACTTGTTTGGGACTGAGGCATAGTTGTTATTGTTGTTGTTTTAGTGAGTTTAGATCAGATATTAGCTTTTGGTTTTGCCAGAGGTATATTAGAGCTTAAACATTAAGCATATTCTTTGTTCGAAAAAATTTGTCCTAAGCACAAAAACTGTATTTGGGACAATTATCCAAATGGTGAAAGGAAAAAAATAGCAGTTTTGTGCTTGCTAATGGTAACAAACACTGATTTCTATACAGTGGGACGATTCAGCAGACGAGTTGATTGAAGGATCACCAAGTGGCGCGAGGAGGTTTACATTACCTAGCCCGAAGAGGACGAAAATCTCTCCCTTGAAGAAATATGAATTTAAAAAATTCACCACGAGGAGAAAGCCCACGAAATGGAGTGCGTTGGAAGAAGACACTTTGAGAACTGGTGTAAAGAAGTATGGAGAATCCCATACTTCCTTTTAACTTTAAAGAAGTATCAACACAAGGTTTAGCGCTCTAAATGTTTTTTTTTGTAGGTATGGTTCCGGAAATTGGACGCACATCTTAAATACTTATCGTGACATATTTGTAGTGAGGACTGCGGTAAGTGCATTCTCATGCTGCTAGTAATAGATATGTCTTTTAATACTCCAACTTATGAAGTCCGGACAATTTTGTTCAGGGTGACTTGAAGGACAAGTGGAGAAACATGATGTCGTAGAGATTTATTTTGAAGAAATTTGCTAATGTATGTGCCTTTTGTTTTGTTTACCAGAGGTATGGCCTTGTATATTTTTTGTATCATGTAAATGTCATGCTGTTCCTATGTATCTTGTTCGATACATCACATTTCAGATGACTATTGTTGTATATCATTTCTGGAAAGTGACAAAAAAAAAGAACTATCAAGGGTCTCCCCAAATTTTGTTGCAGAATTATTTTTTTGTCTGCCTTTATTTTTGTATGAAAAACTTATGGTCCCAACCTCTCCTAATTCCTCATCACACCCAGAAGATAAGAGGAGCAGCAGCCTTGTTTTACTGACAGTTTGAAGTAGATGTGCCACTTGTTTTAAAAAGAAGACGACAACAAGACTGAAATATGTTTTCTTTCATTCATTTCTTACCATCAGCTTTCAGTGTCCTTTAGCTTCACAATTTAATACAACATGCTACCTTCACAGAGTATCTCAGCAGATGCAAAGCCTAGATTGTTAATATGAGAGATGAGTACCGTCTGCCTCGATTTCTTCTGGGTTGCAGTGTGGTGGTTCCGTCGAATCCGGAAAGCAGCTCAAGTGACTCGATTTTAAACAGCTATCTGCTAATAGTTCTTGCAGCTCTGCCACTTGCGCTGCTATGTGCCCTTGACCTGAGGGCAATCGTACGTTGTGTTTTACGATACAACACGAGATTTCCCTTCGAGTCCTCAGAAGCTGCTACTTCACGTTTGGCATCCAATGGAATGGACAAGGATGAGTTGGAAAAGATACCAGTGATGGTTTACGAGCCAGGACTGAGGATGTTTTCTGCTACAGATTGTCCAATATGTCTCGGAGAATTTGAACAAGGAGAAAAGTTGAGAATGTTGCCAAGATGCAATCATGCCTTTCATGTCAAGTGCATTGATGAATGGTTTTCATCGCATTCATCGTGCCCAACTTGCAGGCAACCATTGGTTCTACACGATGGCGAATCCAAAATTTAGACGTTGTGGAGTTTGAATTGAGCTAGAGAATGAGTTTTTAAATATATATCTAACCCTGTCTATATTTGTTAATTGCGCGCGCGCATATATATATATATATATATATATATATGTATATATATATATATGTATGTATTCGACCGTGAAGTATCGAGTTCCAACACCTCAATTATCAATCTTAGTTGAGATCAATTATATGAATCAACGCAGTCGGTGTTGGTGATCAATTTAAGCCCGTCAATTATTATCTAAAATATTTAAAATTTATAGTTCACATAAAAAATAATAATTTCTATCACGTTTGAATCATTGCACGAATTATATAAAGCTTACTTCTACACGTCTCATGGCGTTTAAAACTAATTCTGGTCCAGGTGGATGTCAGGAAAAAAAAACTATTATGTTGTCTGGCTATCGTTTTTCATTTTTAAATGAAAATACTATGGTCCCAAATGACTCATATTATCTCGTCAAATCACAATCAGTATTATAGCCTGTTTGGCAAAGTTTATTTTTGGGCCAAAAGTATTTTTTTTCAAAAATTTAGTTGTTTTGCCAAGTTTTTAGAAGGAAAAAAGTGCTTTTGAGAAGAAACAAAAGTAGTTTTTGAGTAACAGAAAAAAGTAGTTTCTCTCCAAAAGCACTTTTGAGAAAAATACACTTAGAAACAGTTTTTGAAAGTTTGGCCAAACATTAATTAATGCTCAAAAGTGTTTTTCAAATTAATTAGCCAAACACAATTTTGAAATGTACTTTTGAGAAAAACACTTCTGAAGTTTGGCCAAACATGCTATTATTCTTCTTCCTTATCCTAACTACCGGATAACGAATTAATTGTAGAGCAGCAGGATCCACACAGCCTATAAGGGGTCGTTTGGTACATGGGATAATGATAATAATCTCGGGATAAAGTTTGAGATTAACTTTATTCCATGTTTGATTGGTGCTATTAGCTAATCTCGGAATAACTTTTACACTTAGGGCTCGTTTGGTACGAGGGATAAGAGATAATTAATTTAGGGATTAAATCTGAGATGAGTTTATCCCATATTTTGTTGGGATAAAATCGCGGTATAACTAATCCCGGGAGTGTAGTGTTATTTTTATCGGAGGGTGGGATAACAATTTCAATTCTGACAGCTGGCACTTATTATGATAGAAAAAAATACTCTATAATATTTCAATAGTACTGAAAGACTTTGAACTTACTGCTAAAACAGGAAATGTTTTCTTGCATTCAATTCTTACCGGCTTCTATCAGCAGAAAAAGAAAAGTCTTACCAGCTTTCTACATCATACTCTGCATTTATATTAAAGCTTCATCATGTGATATTCCACACTTTACGTTTCCAGATTTTCTCTCAAGAAATGCAATGCCAAGATTTCTAGTATGAGAGATGAGTACGGTATGTTAAATTTTTTGATCGCTTCATCTAAAAGTTTAAGCCGTTAGAAAGAGTATATTATTTTTAAATTATTTAATTATATTATGTCTCAACATTATCTACTTTGTTTTCTTCAGGGTTACAGTGTGGCGGTTTCAAATAGATGTCTGCTAATACTTCTTGCAGCTCTGCTACTCGCACTGTTAATTGCGCTTGTGCTAAGGGCAATTATACGTTGTGTCGTACGACACAACGGGAGATTTCCCTTTGAATCTGCAGAAGCTGTAATTGCACGTTTGTCGTTGAATGGATTGGATAAAAGCGAGTTAAAAAAAATACCAGTGATAGTTTACGAGCAAGAATTGAAGATGATTTCTGTCATTGATGATTGTCCAATATGCCTCGGAGAATTTCAACAAGGAGAAAAATTGAGGATTTTGCCAAGATGTAATCATGGTTTTCATGTTAAATGTATAGACAAATGGTTTTTATCGCATTCATCATGTCCAACTTGCAGGCAAATATTATTTCTAGCTTAAATAAGTACAAAAGAAATTTTTACATTGCCACTGAAATGTTCCTGTTGTACGTAGTAAGAGATTACCTGCTTTATTATTCAGGTATTATTTTTTTCAAGTCTTGGACAGTGATTTGTAATTATCTTTTAGGTGATATAATATTGTTGTAAAAATATATATAGTACTATTTTAAGTTTCCGTATAAAGAAGTTAAATCCTTGATATAAGCCTTGTTCTACGACAGAGGAAACTTTCCAGGCTCCTTTCTTCTCATTATTCTTGTGGCATCAAGAGATTACACTGATAAGTGACGGAAATAGGATTTTCATCGAGGCGATTCAAAGAATTTAAAAAGAAAACACATAAAGAAATATATATATTGTATAATTTTCAAGCAAAATGGATTCATCCAAACTCCTTCTTGTTTGACCAAAAAGTATAACTTTCGGTTAAACCTTTATATTTATGTAATAATGGATTAAACCTAGTTAATAATAATATTCCTAAACGTAGATCTTGAAATACGGATAATATGGGGCTGATCTAGTGGGGGATTAATGATATCATGCATTAAATATTCCAAAAGTATGAGCAATAATGGAGAAGTAACTATCAATAAATAACAATAAATGACATTTAAGTAAATAGAAGGAATGATTCACCCAATAATGAATGAGTTAGATGATTGTTCCTCCTGACAATGATGCGTGACAGATAAATCCTAGAATGTTCGAACTATTCTCGGATCTGATGGAAAAGTATCAAATAACATGAACAAGAATGTTGATAAAAAGGTAATGTATGTATCTTTGCTTTAGAGAGAGAATCTTCTTCTGAAAAGTGTTCTTATCAAGTTAATATTACATGTCTATCTTCCTTATCTTTTTTCCCTTATTTATTAGAGACATATCTCTAACAAACCCTAATAGTACAAGTGCAGAGAATATTCACTAGAATATTCTCTTTAATATCCTATTTCAAAAACTAGCCGCTATTGTTCTGTCAACGGTGCTCAACCTCGGTCATTGTTGATATCTCGATCACGAATCTCGCTGCTCCCTGGCCGACCTCAACTGACTCTTTCCTTATTACTATATTACCTTAAATATTCTAGGGCAGATTTTGACCTATACAGTTAGTCCCTCCGCTTATTGAGGCCGTCCTCAAGCGGGCTCGATGAGCGGATATTGTGTAACGTGGTCGAAGCATTTGGACGACCTGAATGAGTCGTGATGGTTGGGGCGAGTTGGCAGCATGTCCCTTTGTGAACCATATCTTCTGGGGTTGTATGTCCCACGTATCAGGATGATGTCATGGCGACAGGGGTCATTATGACGCGATTTCCTGATACATTGCTTCGTTTCGCGCGCGTCTTCTGATCGAATATGCCGCTTCGGTTATAGTTCCATGTAATGATAGATTAATTCCTTGGTTTCGACGCTTGAATTTTTATAAATAGGGGTGTGTGGGTAACGTTTCAATATTTATGACACTGTTGCATAAAACAACTATGTTTCTTCTTCTTCCCCCATTGTTGTATCTCTTCTTATCAAAATCCTTTCCCTCATTCTTCTTCCTCCATTGTCGCGTATCTTCTTACTGGTTTTAGTGATTCTCGCTGCTTCTAACACTTCCTTTCTTGAATATCCTCCCTTAATCAACATGGCTAGTGTACCTTCTATTCCCGGTATGTCAACTGACCTTGTCCCCATGGCGGTGCTTATACCCCCTCGCGCTGATGGTGTCTCTATCGCCGTTGAAGATGAGAATTTTTCCACAGTGGAGAAAATAATTCCTTGTAGCGAGAAAGTAAGGTCCGACTTTTCGAAGGCATCTGAGGGTGAGCCTGAAGTCTCGGAGTCAGCGATGAAAGAGGTCGATCTATATGAACTTAGGGCAAAGTTCAGCTTTCCTGCCCAAATCGATCTGGTCCCAGCAGGGCGCGATATGATACAAATCCACCGCCCCAGGTATTGCGCGTTCTATGCATACCCTTTCCAAGTTTCCTATACTCTTCCCCTTCTCCCGTTGGCGGAGGAATTTTGTTGCTACTATGGCGTTTGCGTGGCCTAACTTTCTCCATACATCTACAAGCTTATTAGAATGCTTACAAAGTTTGCGGAATTGGTCGGGGTCGAGGTCACACTCCACCATCTGATGCATCTCTTTGCCCCTAGCTTCTACATGGGGACGATGTTGCACCTTCGTCATCGAGGAAGTAAATGCCTGGTGGTGAAGGACAAGGCAAATCGTCAGTTCTGGCTCAATTACATTTTTGTCAGAACTGAAGACGCGGTGACCAATGCGAACGACCTCCCTAAGACTTGGAATTACACTCGTAAGTATCCATATATATATTTCTTATTTTTTTGTTGCTAAAGCACTTGATTTGTTTTGGTCGCCAATTCTGACATTTTATCCCTTCTATGTACAACCAAGACTACGCCCCTCCTTTGGTTGGGGATAATTCGAACTGGATTGGCCGGGTTCTGCCTCACATTGTGGGAATTCGTGAATGGCCGGGCTATCTCAAGAAGTTCGGGCTTGCTTCTTCCCTGGCCAGTGAGTTCATCTGTACAAATATTTGCTACCTCGACCTCATGGTCACTTGTTGCAGTTTATTCTTGGTAGTGATAACCTTCATTCTTTTTCGAAGTCTATTGCGATCATGACTGCAGCTAGGCCTGCCCGGTCATCTACTCATGTTCCATCTTCCAGCGCGGCCAGGTCTGCTCGGTCGTCGACCTCACCTTCTACTGCCTCAGCATCAGTTTCTTCTCTGCCTACGGACATATCGGCAGCAAAGCTTCTGACTTCCCCTTTGTATGGTTTAGTGGATGAGGAAGAGTCATCGCCGAGTGGTGGGACTTTAGTTCCCTGTAAGAGAAGATCGGTGGATGTCGGTGATGGGATCACTCGTGCTGTAGATTCAGTGAGGGGCAATTTCGTCATCTGTGAGACGGCGACAATAGTGCTCGAAGATGACATCGAGTCGTCATCTGAGATTTCGCCATCGGCTGAGGCAGTAGAGGGCGTGTCCCTTCCCGATGTCACGATGGAAGCTGAAGGGCCGTCTGTGAGAGTCTCTGATATTTTGCAGCAAGATGAACCATCGGCCTCGCAACCAGTTGGCGGTCCTTCTTCGCTGGTCGACAGGAAAGGAAAAAACATTGCCAAGGATGTCTACGAGACGGGCTCTGATATTGATGTCGATGAGGTGATGATGATGAGGGAGAGTTTTACCCGACTTGAAGTAAGACTAGAGGGGTCCACGCGGACCATTGCGATCCCCATGGATAGAGATTTTTTGGTTAATACGGAGAATGTGGTTCCTTCCCTTGGTCCTCTCTGTTCTGACGTGGAGGGTAAAACCTTTGAAAAGCTAGATGACGCTACCTTATCAAGGAGCATAGCCGGCCTCGCTCCCAGGGTAAGCTTCTCGACTTCTTCCGTTTTTTGTTTGTCAAGTTCAACATTTAGGCTTCGTCCTTATTCCCCATTTTCTTTGTCTTTATTTTTCAAACCGTAATTTTGGAGATTGAAAGAGCCCGAAGAGAGGAGAGGCGTAAGACTATTTTTCTGAAAATGTAGCGAAAATACCGCGAATACCGTGGCAAGCACCGCGAGATTTGTAGGCGGTTTGGTGAGAGCGGAAATTTCCAAACTCTCTGAGACGAACTGAAGGAAAAGGATGTCAAGATGGTAAGGGTCATCGAAAAATGTAGCGTTCTTGAGGGGGCGCTAAGAGATAAAGAAGAGGAGCTTGAGGTTAATAGGGGGGTCGAAGCCTAATGCGGCGATCTCCAAGCCCAGGTGGTCTTGTTACGCGCCGAGCTCGAGGATTGTGAATTCATAACGGACGCTTTAAGTGGCGAGGTCGCCGAGAAGGTAGCAAATCTCGAGAAGGCGGAGTTAGCTCGGTCGGGGGCTATGAGGAAGGCAGAGGCTTTGGAGATCATAATCCGTGTTCTTCGTTCAGAGCGAGAGAGTTCCTTGGAGACGGCCAGGCTCAAAGAAGAGCGACTTGATGAACAGATTGGAGAATTAGAGAAAGAGGCTTCTAGCCTTTGTGATCGAGTCACCACTCTCTAGGCCGAGAAGACACAATTATTGACTCGGCCTTCCTCTTCCCGTGCTTTTAGTTTCCTTGATGTTACTCGAGATTTGTACGAGGAGTGGATTCACGCCGAGGCCCAGTTGGATATATTTAGAGACCCGATGAGGGTAGGAACCATTTTAGAAGCCTTCTTCGAGGATGCTCATGTTAAGGCACATATAGCTCGGGTTGCTTGCGGCTATGATCCTGCTACACTGGAGGCTGGTGATGACAAGGAGAATGAGGGCGTGGATCAAATTGAAGAGGATGCCTGGTATGAGGACGAGTATCTTGATGGCGATGGTGATGGTGAAGTAGCAGATGGGGATGACCTAGGCGATCAGGCCGATGACGCTGTTGAGCCAGGCGGCGATTAGTAACTTTTCTTTACCTTCTTTTTGTTCTGCCGCAGACTTCTGCGTTTTTTGTGGGCGTCTTTTCTGTCCTTTGTAAAAACTATTCTAAGTATGAAATACCAGTTTTGTTATTTGTACCTGATTCTTTTTTCTTCTGTTCGAGTTTGTATGCTTTTTGATTTTATTACTTGGTTGCCTTGGTTTCCTTAGTCGTAATAACTTAGCTTGAGTAGGGTCGAACAAGGTCGAAACAAAACCTAAGTTTGATCATGGCCGAGGGCCAGTAGATGTTAGTTCAAACGAGGTCGAACATATCGTATGTTTATTTATGGCTGAGGGACGATTAAGTGTTGATTCGAACTAGGTCGAGTATAACCTATACTGTAACACCTCAGAAAATTTTGAAGTACTTAAGCGCTATTAAGAAAATTAATGTGCTCTAATTATATTATTTTGTTTGCAGACGAGGACTATTAATATGATGGATATCAATTGGATATGATAATAAGTGTACGAGGCATATTATAAGTGATGTGGGGTCTAAGGAGATTCCCTAAGTCTAAGTCAAGTTGGAAATTATATGATAGACTAAAATTCCAAATGAGTACGCACAAGACCAAACTTTGGACGAGCATATATACATATATACTAGGAGTTATGTAATTAGAAACCTATCCAATGAAAGTTGTTCGAGTCTAGTTTCTAACGCTTCAAACTGTTCGTCATTTGGATACTCCTACAAGA